AAATTAAAAAAAAAAAAAAAAAAAAAAAAAAAAAATCGTAGCCGACAGAGACTGATGGACTAGAAGTTGAAACCCACAGTGCTGCAGCTCAGAATGATGACAAGCCGACGACAGTCACCAGGCAAAGTGAAGAAGGTGCCAGTGGGCAAGATGAAGCTGAAGACCAGGAGGTGAAGTCCACCCTTGACATCCTAGGTCTGGATGAGGATCTTCTTAGCCAGTCCTCAGATTCAGAAATGGAATGATCATTCACTATGTAATTATTGCAAAAATTTTCAGCCTCAGGTACATGAATATTAAACATGTGTCACATTACATTTCAATATGCGAGAAAAGTTTAATACATTCTGATTGAATTGACAAGATTTTTCCTTCTAAGGTCTCTAGAATCTGAATGGGAGATCTTGAAATGCTAGGGGCTTGCCTTCAGGGGAGACTCCCCTCCAGACTGAGGCACTGCACCTGGACCCTGCTGGGGGCGTAACACCCCCAGACCCCTGTGACAGCTGTCACATACCTGCAAACCATTTACCAATCCAATTTTGTCATATTTTTTTTATGTGTGTTCCAATTTTTTTAATTTTTTATCGCAAACGATTTTCTTCACTGACAAGGTCCTGTAAACGTCAGTTAACCGTTTTTGCCCAGGACTACCTTGTATCATTATCATGTAATTCAAAATTGTAGATTCATCACAAATATGATTGATTTATCAGAAACAATAATGGAGCATTTTCATTTCATATTGTATATCATATGAAAAGTAAGTTATTCAGCCAAAATATTCATGATCTTTATCATTAAACTATGGCTCATACAGTGTGGTCATATCTTCAAAAATAAGGCTAAGATAGCACCAGAGAGCATCTAAAACCCTAAAGCTTCCAGGGCCCTTGGGCGGGCCCTGGACCCCGGCCGCAAGGGACTTCGCGCTTCGCGCTCGTGATGTGCGCTTTGCGCATATGGTGATGTGCACTACGCGCACAGAGATTTTTCTTTTGCAATTTTAGTAGCCTCCTGTAAATCATAAATTGCCTGCTATCAGAAAAATTAACAAGAACCCTGAGAATAAGAGCAATAACCAGGGATGCCAACCTTTCAGAGCACAAATCAGTAATCGTAAGGCTAAAAATCCGTAATTTGGAGACAAAATCCGTAATTTTCTGCGCGACGCAAATTTTTCTGCACGCTGGCAAGCGCAGCTCGCAGGCAAGCGCGATAGCACAACAAGTTAAATAAAAGTAACATACCTGTTCATTAGTTGGTGTTACACGATGCATTTCCATTTCTTACTGTATTCTTCTTTAAAAGTCTGTAACTTCTTGCCACGCTTCTTAGTTGTGGAAGACATGATGATTGATATCTAAATCCAACCAACATGAGTTCAGATTGTCGACGAAAATCGACGAACGCTGTGACAGCCTGTGAGAAATCCGACAGTGTACACGGCGCTAGCGTAGCGAGGCCTGGCGCTGGCCCGGCGGTAGCGGCGCGGCCAAGAGAGGTATTTCACCCGGCCCCCGCTCGCGAAGCACATGTATGCACCTGCGCTGTGAAAGGGGTGTGCTAGATAACAAATTGTCCGATCGGAAGCGCTATGGGATTTCTATGCATGGATTCAAGGATGGCTGCGCTGCAATAGTCAAAAGTACCGGTACGTGCTAAACCTTAAAGTGCTAATTTTGAAATCGGCAAAATCCGGGATTTATGGTATGAAAACCGTACCGCCCGTAATTGGCCGATTTCCCGTAGAAATTACGGGAAATCCGTACTAGTTGGCATCTCTGAATAACCATGCACTTTGAAGGCATTTGCGGTCTGAAAACAGAACTCAACTATCCCTTTAAGGCATATTGGTCAAATGAAAAAAACAGATACAGGACTAATATAATTGCTTCGAAACAAGGCAAATTCTCCCTCAATAAGATTAATCCTTCTTGGTGTAGCAAGGTAGAGATTTTACCTTTAAACCCTGTTTAATGGGCTTGGCCTCCAAACTATTCATTTAAACTTCAGTTAAACTTTTCTAAAGAGAAATAACCAATATTAAATTGAAAGCCGATATTTTGAATACGGTATAAAACCAAAAAATACAGCAAAAGATATGGATTTTTCGGTGAAAAGTCACTTAAACTTTCACAAATAGGGCGAGGACATTTTCTCGAAAAATGCAGCCTTCCGATAAGAAGTCTCACCCATTGTGACATATTTTGAAAGGTTTTCAGTTTAGAAGGCTAGTTTTGCCTAGAATTGATGATTCCTGACTGCGTACTGATTTGGGTTATTCCACAGGAGTGGTAACTGGTTTTACACAGCCTTTTTCCTATAATGTTGCATGTCATGGATGTTATGTTTCCACTGATTGTTAATTAAACAAGTGAAGTGATATGCTTGCTATCTGAATAATGCCCATCAAAGTCAACATTTCAGTCAATGCAGATATTGATAGCATTAGATGAATTCCTTCCTACCGGTACCCATTTAACGCCTGGTTAGAGAGTAACAAATGTACATTAATTAATGTCTTGCCAAAGCACATTAATGCCGCTGCGGGGACTCCAAAAGTTAAAAATGTGATTCACAGACTGACGTGTGCACTAGACCAGCACACCTCTTCCAAATTGTATAATATCAAGTTGCAGTTAAATCTTTCCTTTTCTGTATTTCTGTTTTTCATTAAAAAATAATGATAATAATAACAAATAAAACACAAATAAAAGTAAAAGCCTGCCAGACATCAACTTTTCATGGGTTCTTACACTTTCTCTGTCCCTCTCATCTGACTCTGCGGCATCTCCCAAGAACACGGACTACATGGTACATGTATCAAATATTCAAAGGACTTGAAACAAACTCCCTACAGAGTAAGATCCCTAGTTGCCACTAGGTAGGCTAGCCAACTTTGCTAAAGTGGATCTTGACCTTTATGAATAAGTTGTTATGCTTCACCGTCCAGAATAGAATCTCAAATTAAATGGAAAATATTATACAGGGAAATACTTTCACAAATATTATACAGGTTGTACTGTATACAATTTTCTATAACTTCAACTCATCATAACAATGGGGAATTACTTTAAATGGATAGGTTGATTTTTTCATTCATTTTTTTCCTGTCAGTGTGAAATGATAATGAAACTAACTCTTCTTGGAAAAATCCTGTTTGAAAGAAAACTCAAGCAAACAAGGCAAATTAGTCAGAACATGGTTTCAGACCATCGCTTCAAACTACCACTGTCTAAACATGTGAGACAATAGATGGATATAATCATCGCCCCATAAACTTATATTGCGCAATCTCTTACTAATGTTGTTTGTATTATGATCTAAGAGCACATTTTGTAATATCAACAATGTTGGATAAAGAAGTATTCATCGACTTTGGTTAGTCTATCAAAATATAAACATGTCAATCCCTCTTCAACTACTCTCAAAAGCAGGATATGGAGATTTGTTTGGCTTTTAAATTCATCTACCCTGATACACATTACATACACCATACCTTGTAATATCCCCCCCCCCCCCCCTCAGGAGGGGGGGGGGGGCGGGGAGTAGGGGCACATACAAAAATATGCTTCCTTTAGCCTGTCATAATAATAAACTACAGAAATGTGTAGTCTTGCACGTCAGCTTAATACTCTACATGATGTTCAAATGTTAACCGCAATCTCATTAAGATTAGTGAGTATTAATTCAGCCTAATGGAGATCATATCTGTTTCCTGCACAAAATGCAATATTTCCTATCGCACAAATGGGATGAATGAGGTCAGACAGACTCCCTGTTTCAGAAGAGATAAGGTTGTTCATTAACATTTAAGGTAATAAACAAAATAATGATGTACATGTTTTGCAAGACATAGTACATACTCTAGCAACAATTTTGTTCACTATTAAACTCAACTCCAACCAAGGTGTAGTATACATGTACCTCACTTTTAAACATTTACCATGATAGGCCCATAATAAGCCCTTAATGAAAGCAACATCAACTAGAACTCTTGTGGTAAATATGCATTATGGACTAATCACAATGTCATTGTCAAAGCCATCTTGATTTGCCATCAAAGTCTAAAACAAAACAAGTCAGGAGTATCAGGGATGCCATAAACAAAAGTTCAAGTTACTAAGAGATGAGGAAAGAGGGAATGGTGTAGATTGCATTGCATAGCAATTAACAATATGCATGCTCATGTACACACCTGGTCCCAAGACTGCATGGTGTCCCTACTGGGGAATCTACAAAAACCTTTACCAACTGTCCAAAGCCAGCTGGAGGCGAAGGACGTGTTCACACATACATTTATTCTGTGATCTTTACTACACCTAGTCCCAAGACTGCATGGTATCCCCACTGGGAAATCTACAAAAAACCTGCCAGCGGTCATAAGCCGGCTGGAGGCAAATGATCTGTTTACACATACACTATATCTGTGATCCCTAGCATCGTCTAGCATCGTACTCGACAATGTATATATTCAGATACCCCAAACTGCACAACATTTCAACTAAAAAATCTATGAAAATCCACACCAGCCATACAAAGCCAGCTGGAGGCACAGGATGTATTCACACAAACATTTATTTGTGATTCTTACCTTTGTCTGACACCCATGATGTCAGATGTATACATGTATACATTACCCCGCCCCATGACCCTGCCCTGCCCTGCCCCTCCCCATCTCCTCTCCTTTTATCTTCCTCCCTTCCCCTCCCTTAATAATAATAATTATTATAATAATAATTAATACAATTGTCTCTAAGCGCTTTACAAATATAATATTACCCCAGTCATTGGATTCAGTGCTTGCCTGCACACAGTGTGCACAATCTCCACTCCCTAGGGAGCATTCCAGCCGGGCGTTCATTGATGATCACAAGCTGTTTGACCAACATTGACGGCCGCATGTACCCCGTGTACCCCTCCCTTCCCCTCCCCCTCCCTCTCTGCATACACAGATGGGGAGATGAGGCTGTTGAAAAATCACTCTGAATACTTACCAGGTATCATTTGCAATTCATGGAAAGTCGGTACATCCACATTCAAGAGCATACAAGTAGAGACTTGGATGGGTGTTTCATAGGCGAGTAATATCAGACTTCTCAATCAGGCTGGTCAAAAAATCACATCTAGAAAAGTAAATAAACAAAGATAGAATAAACATAACAATGTGGTTGGAAAAATGTAGAGATCGTAAAACACAAATGAAGGATTTGTTTGTAGGGGGCGGGAGACAACAGACAGTACAGATTCAAAGAATACTCATCCTCATACTCACAAGACAAAATATCCTTCTACATTTACAAAGTATAACAGAACACCAAACATTTAAAAACTTATACATTTCCCCCTTCTCTACTGTGACTAATAGACCAAAGCTTGAGAGATAACTTTCTGCTTTCTGGAGCCCCACTATTTATAAGCTACTGCAATGTTCTCATTCTTGTTGAGTATTAAATTGTATTTATTGAATGACTTCTTTATTTGGTGATCCAACATTTGCTCCTGTGACACTTTCTCAAGGCTTTATTTTGTCAAAGATACATGTATGAGGTTAGGATTAGGCATGGTTATAGAAAAGTGTATAATGTTTGGTTGAGCGTTCAAGTCAGGAATTTAGTTAGTGTAGGGTATTGAATGCAGAACAGTCATCACAGGGGCAAGCCTTAAACAACCAGTTATTTCCCAACCTACATATAAGTGTATCGAGATAGGTGCCAGACCATTATGGCTCAGCATGAACTGAACCAGAAAATAAATTCTATTATCCAAGCTGCTTTAATTCCATTCACTCACATAACCCCACGCATATCATGCAATCAAAGGGGCCCTCTGTAATTAAGAGCACATTATCAAGCTCAGTCAGCTCCCAACAACTTTTATCAACTATTAAAGGCTTTTAAAGGGGAAATCCAAGCATGGACTTATACCTATTATAACCATCACTTAAAATTGCTATATGATATTTAGTGTTTTACTTATCAATTTTTGCTACAGACTCTTCTCAAAGATATATGGTTAGGGTTTACAGTTGCTGTTGGGTTTCAAGTCACTGCTTTAGGAAAGGTTTAACTGGGTTAAGTTGAAATGTTTCATCCAGAAGATGCATTTGAAGATGTTTAAAGTTGATGTTGCATTCATAAGACTCAAGAAACACTTAAGATAAACAAATTTTCAACAAGAATCGTGTATTATAAGACCATTCAAACTCAAAATCAGCACAAAACATCATACACATCCATACATCATGAACTGAAGGCATATCAGAAACCTGTGTCAAGATAAAAACAGCCTTGCACTTACATGTAGATTAATCTTCCTTTGTATAATATACATGTAGGTTATCCATTTCTCTTCATTTCACTGTTACACCTTCCGGGTGCTATTTCAAATCATTTTAATCTGCATAAACACTGCTCCAATACATATAACTTTCCCCTTATAGACAATTCCCCCAAAGTTTCAAGAACAAAAAACGTCTCTTTTCGCAAAGGTCACAATTCTTCCCGTTCATCCCCCAAGCAGACCTGTTATTGATTTGAGGACATGGAGCCAAGCATGAAGAGGGGAGGGATCCCGTGCTGGCAGGCAGCGCAGGCAGCGCTTGTCCAGTTACCAGTGAAGCAAAATGAGCTAATGGGGCGTATGCATGCCAGCTATAAACATTCCCAGGTACAGGCAATGACATTCATATTTCATCAACCGGTCACCAAGCATGGAAAGCCAGCCCACGGCCAAAGGCATATTCTCACTGCTGCTTTATGTGCCTTTTGTTCTAAAGCATGAAAGTCTGCATAGAGTCACAATTTAAAATACTCTACATAACACAAATTGTATGATGATATTACTCTATCTGTTTATTGTTCGTTTTGATTTGTTTCGGTTTTTTGATAACAAAATGCTAACAAAGTTTACATACATGTAGTACTTCCATCATTGGTGGCACTCAGTAATTATAATACCCCTTTCCACCCCCCCCCCCCCCCTCCCTTTCTACTACTATGTGTATGTGTATGTGAAAGGACAGCTTTCACAGAAGAATCATACATGTACATCTCTCCCATCTCCATGATATCATTTGAATTAGACTATATGTATGTCTTATGAAACATATTGATAACTTGTACATGATGGCTAGATTTAAAGTTCATGAAATGTCAATCTCCCTGCCCATGCATCCACAGTCCGAGGGCATAATGACGGTGGGCTTCATTTCAATTTGCTCCTTGTACCTGCCTGTCCACTAGAAATGAGGACACCATCCAGATGACACACAGACATTCTTGAGTCAGTCAGCCAGCCATCTCTGATCTCACCATCTTGGATTCTTGCCATCCTCTTTCTCCACACATGAATGACCCAGCTCAAATGCAGAGGCACTGCCAAACCCAAGGGGTAGTTTATTGGCAGGCACAATCCCTCCTCAGTTGTAAGTTATTTTCAACGGACAGAAGAATGTCTGAAGTATAAGACTATGGAGACTGCTCTATACAGAACCTGTACTATGTCTACTCCCAGTACTGCCACAACTAGGCTTAGCTCAAAGCTTTATGGAATTGTTTTTAAACATCAAAATAGAGTCAGCGACTACAGACAAGCCTCAGAGTGGCAGTCTTTAACCAGCACAAATAATTGCCCACATTAAAACAGGGTCTTAACTATCACTGCGCTACATCTGATAGGCATGGTATATGTGGCTGCTCAATCTTGGTTAGACTTCACTATGTCCGTGCTGCTCACAGAGTCGAGTTGTGGCTGTTTATTGCTTTAAAGGCACAAACAATCCTAAATCATAACTCCCAACTAAAGGTCTGAATTAGGTAGATGTACACTAGCAATGAAAGGCTGAGAGACAAACAACGAAAATCTGTTGTAGTCTATAATTCAGACACAATAATTTTTTCTTCAAAGTGGAGTCTATGCCTGCCCCATAGACATCAGGCTGGTAATACAGCCTGATTATTCCCTGTGCGGCAATCACACTCTATGTGCTCATATGAAATGGCATAGTGGGTGAATTAATGGGGACAAATCTAGAAAAATTAATTTGTGTGATGGATGGAGCAGTGCTCGTGCGATATGCACCATTGGTTACCGGGGCACATGGGATATACATATATCTGGCTGACAGATTCAAGATATAAACACATTTGATTCTGACAGGTTTGCAGAAAACAAGACGTGGGCAGCCAGTACACATACCAGCATGCCGGCAGAGCTGGAGTCAGGGGGCTATGGCTTTTATCCTGCAAAAGGAATAAAATAGTCAATTAGGATCTAAAGGTACATACATGTTCATGTACATGAGTACTGTAGGGTAAAGATTTACTGTTTCTTGCACAATGTGCTTAAAAACTAGATCAGTTTTAATTGAAAATTTCTATCAAAGTGTTAAGTATTTTTGCTAAATTTACATTAGAGCATAACAAAAAATGAGATATCGTGGAAACCAATAAATTATCTTATCTATCTTATCATCATGATTAAATCAGGGTCTTCCCTTGGTGAAAGTTTGCTCACTTCACTCTTGCAAGTTAAATTAAACCTTGTTCTTTTACTCCTTTCAATCCGTGCAGCATTCTGTCAGTCTGTCTATTGTTTTTAAATACATGTACAATACCAACAGAATCTTTCCTATAATGTGCATGTAGATCGACCCTACAGTTTGGGTTGGTCTGTTTTTGTCAGTTGGCCTTCATGCTCCAAATGTCCTTTCAAAGCAACCCGGTTCCCAGCTTGAGATTGCATTCCACCAGGGGCTGGCTCACTTGCATTTCTCAAACATTTATATACCGTTTTAATAAAATCTCGGATTCACGTAATGACCCACCCGTATCCTTCCCGTGCCTACATTATACCGCTAAGCAATATCCCTTGCTGGGACGAAGCTATGCCTTGTTTTTCTTTCGAGCAGGGGTAATCAATATGGAGACAAACATTCATGAAGCACGCAATGCGGCCGGCCGGCCTCACTCTGTGCTCACGTTGTTCCACTGGCAGCCCCGCACACCAGCCAGGCATATTTTTAGCTGCCCCGTTTCCAAACTTAATTTGAGGCATATTGTTTAAATGAGCCCAGCATCGGGGTGCTTTCTCGCAGACCAGAGATCTAAGGCATGAAATCTAGCCTCGTTAAATAGAGAAAGTAAATATTTGATTGTGGGACCAAGACTATCATTGATTTATCATAAGGGAGTCAAGGGGACCTAAAGCTGCTCTCTTTATAGTGCACACAATGTCTTTCATACATCCACAAAAGAGTGTTCAATGATAGAGCTTAGAGAAGGCCATCATTACAGCTAAACTGGGAATCAAATCAATGAAATGTTGTATGCTGAACATTCTATGAATTTGTACCTATCTCTTGATTTTCTTCTCCTTTAATTAAATGAATAGTTGGGGTGATTTCTTCCAATGTTGAGAAGTTGAACATGGCACAAGTGTCACAATGGCTAGCATGAAAGAGAGTTCTGACATTGCAATATTTCCCTTCTTATACTAGTTGAGTATGAACTTCAACCCTCCATTAACCCCCTTCTACCTGAAAAACAAGTCTGAGCCGAGTGCATTCCATTCAAAAGATTGACAGCCTCTTAATTCTGTGCCTCTGGCTGGCTACTCGTATTTGATGTGTGTTTTGGGTGCTCTAAAGCGCTTTTATTTTCCCACTTCACACGGCCTGAACCACTGTTGTAGTGTACACATGTGTACCAAAAGCCCAAAACAGTAATTTGAGATATTCAACCACAGCATCATAATAAATTGAATTAAACTTCATTCAAAACAAGTTGCTTATCAAACAAGAACTTAGATTTATCTAAAAAGCAGAATTATACATGTTCATTCGGGTAAGAATTACATTGCACGTGTATGAATTTTAGGATTCTCTAATTATATGTCAAAATGTACATGTAGGGCCTAGATATTAAACATAACTACCTTTTAATTTTAGTCAGTTTTTTTTTTAATTTTTATTACAGGTAAACTGATTTGTCCTTTTTTTGTGTGAAATACTTTTCCATAGCAATCCTGTCTCTTTTGCAAACTGATACAAAGATCGCATCAGCTAATATGCAATCACAGAGCCAGAGTACTGTATATCAATGCAAATGCAAGGATTTAATATAAA